ACACTCTATGTCCTCTATCTATAATGTTAAGTATTTCCAGTAGATAATCAGTAGAGTTGATACTACTTTTTCAGACGACATGTTTTGGGATCAAGAGATGGGATTGGGAAAACTCTGTCTGCCTCATTTTGAAATGAGACATTTCCTGGCATCTCTGTCACCTTCAGAGCCATACTGCGCGGCAGAAGAGAAGGTCTGTCAATATTCACAAGTGTGTTCATTTTGGAGTGGGACATAAAAATGACTGTGACCTCCCGGACTGTGTCGATTCAACGAGAAATCTCATCCAGTTTACTGATTGAAATTTCAATTGAGCCAACCGGAAATTTTGATCCGTGTGATTTCAGTTTTTGTTACCTATAACTCTAAAATTCTCATTAGTTCACTCACCTCATAGAAAATTACAATATCAGTTGAAGCATTATGCATTAAGCATTATTTTCATTATTACTGCGAGCGTTCGTTTTTTCCAGATTTCTTATCACTTGCATTGTTCCTCGCGTGAAAGTTTGATAAATAAAAAAGTATACAATCTGATGACGTACGCTAGACCTCGTCTATTTAAACAAAAAAAAAAAATAGATTAAAAAAATTGTAAGAAAAAATTTTGGTGGACGCATGATTCACCTTATATGAATCGTCAATTATGAAGAGAGCCCTGACTATAAGACCTTGCGTTCCTTGATTTCCTTTTTAATAGCACGGTATTTAAACCTCGAGAGATTTCAGTACTGAAACTTGTCTCCAAATAAACGTTTCATTTAGATCAATACATCTCTCTGAGCTTTACATTTTTTTAAAAATAGAACAATGGCTGCTCTAACAAATACATCATCAGAAAAAAGCTCCCCGTTCATGAAAATTTTAAAGAAAAGAACGTGATTTTCGATATCCGGATCAAAACTATCCAAAGTTATGCATGATTGCATCATATTCAAACGCAAATGGCGAGATCGGTACATTTCCTTGCTGGAATGTCCTTTGCATTAGCTACTTCGTCACAGAAAATTAATTAGGAAACAGTCCATACGCTAAATAGTTTTACCGTTTTATTATCTTTTCGTGCCCGGATACAAAAAATTTTATCAGAAAAATGTATACCAGCACGTCCTGAGGATGCGTCCTGAATGCATGAGAGAAAAAGAGGGGAGCGAGAGAAGTAAGTTGCTGAAATCCCTGATGGAGAGATATTTATTTTCTTTAGTTTCGTTCTATGTGTGCATGATCTTCCCTACAAAAACAACGTTCCACTGACTCAAATCTGAACAGTAGTGATCACAATTTCCTCAAAGCGAGCCACTGTTCTAATTATCTGGATAAACTGATGAGTAATGTCATTGGGACGGACAAAATCGAAAAAAATGATTCCCAGTTAGCACATTCTTGGTGGCTGGATGTTTTCAGTGCAGACAAGTAATTAGCGCTTTGCCGATAATAACTACGATGTAGTGCCATTGAATAACATCTTGTTTGACGTCAGAAATGTTGACACACAGCTCTGGGCAAAAAGTTTGCGACGGCTGCAAAAAGTCACGAGACAGAGGAGGATGACAACGTAATTGAGATTCGACCCCTAAATTTGTCAGGTTTGTAATTCAGACCAATTTATTTGAAGGTATGCTCAATTGTTGGCCCAAATGTCATTTGGAAAGGCTGGAATGTAACCTTTAATTAGACGTCAGTAAGCAGTACAGAATTATTTTACATTAGGCTTGTCGAAAGAAGACCTATTAATTTCAAGGATGGATACGGCCTATTCAAAATTCTGTTTTTTTCTTCTTTTTTGCCCTCCTGCGGACTGATTATTGAAGTTGATAGACAAAGCTATAGACATAGAAGACATAGGAAGTGTGGAAATATCCCATTGGTTAAAATGGGCTGTTTCTATAAACTAAGGGAGAAAATGATGGACTTTCTATAGAGCCTCTCGTGGGTTGCCTTTAATTAGTCCATTACATGTCTTCTTTGTCCATTGCAACCACCTGCTTCCATCGATAGGATCCCTTTTCATCCCTTTCGTTTTCTTTATCTATAACTGTGTCTATCAATTTCAATAATAGACCCGCTGGAGATACACTTCAAGTAGCTTTCAGACGATGCAAATGACAGGTGCGCAGTCTGAAACCCACCCGATACCGTTTCAGCGATGATTTATGACATCTCGTCATTTCGTGCATCAAGATGAGATTTTAGATACTCCTTCTTTTGTCCCTGAGGTGCTCAGCTTCAAAAGATCACCAGTGCCACCAGAAAAGTCGGGATATTGCCAAGCGAGGGCACACGACATTGTACGCCTGCCTTAACCTCGTTGGCAAATCGTAGATTTTAGCTCATTGCGGATATTGGATCATAATTATTATGGTTACAGAGGATGTACTTTTAAGGATCTAAAACTTTTTATTATTATCTCAAATACTTTTATCAGTGTATTAGGCTCTCGTAATTGCAGCGCGAACTCAGCGCTTGACTTGTAAGTAGTTTTGTCGCGTTGAGGAAAAACGTCGCATAAATATATACCTAGATGTTGCCAATTTTCCTGACAAAATAAGGGATTTCCAGATGTCTTTTGAAATATTTTCTCTGAATTTGTTTCAGAGAATATTACTCCTAATTTAACTCTGTGTCTGTAAGAACTTCAAAGAAGTTAACTTCCAAAACTTTTCTTATAGAACTTCATGTGAGTCGTGTACGACCAAGACAAATAACTCCACTTTTTGAGAGTAACTGAGTTAAATATTGTAACTCGGAAGATTTCCTGCGCTCTTTTCACGTATAAAGGTCGATCAGATCAAAAAATACAAAACCCGCGTAAAAATTTGCGATTTGAGATCACAAACGACAAAAGCTATGCTAAAATGTCAACTTCAATTTCAATTCCAACATGAGGATTAACGAATATTAATAATATCCTTTAATTATTGATTGATTTGGAATTGTTTCAGTTTAATTTTCTTAAAAATCTTACAATATGTAAATTTCAACTTAATTCAAATTTTGCTTTATCTCATAACTGTGTGTTTAAACCAAGTTTCTAAGCTTAAAAAAGACTCTGTAACAATCTTGGTCACGCCACAACATGCAGAAGGCAATCAGGTTGTAATTCTAAACTATCTCTTATTCTTTTCCTATATTCTTTGAAAAACCTACCAATTTTCGGGGCCTCAGTATACTGATTCCTGTTAGTTCTTGCAACGTCTCCAGTCCTACTTAAAAAACACGGTTGTTTGCGGTTTTCCGAAAAATTCGTAGTATTTTTTTTATAAATGGCAATTTATTCATCTCCTATGTACAAAAAATAAGAATATATGCAGAATGATGTATCCTAGCCTTATAATAGGAGGTTGCCCCCTGAACATTGCTAATGATTAATACCTTTCTTTTATTTATAGATTTAATATATTTAAGTGCTGTTTTATGAGGGGACCGAAAAATGAAGAGTTGGAGTTGGTTTGTTGATCCTATACGCCTCATTTCCTATATTAGGAAATCTGGCAACATGGAATTGCTCATACGACACTTTTCCTCACCAAGTCAGAGTACTTACGTCTTCGCCGCGTAATAACGCACCCGTAACGCGAGAGTCGACTCCCGCCGCGCCGCACAGTGGATCGAGTCAAGTAGAGAGGTCGGACGTGAGATTTTTTACAAAAACTGCAAACTTTGATGTTTATTTCGTCACATTTTAAATTTCATGGGGTGCTTATAGAAGGAAATTCCACGAGGAAACCAATGGAGCCACTTTTAGAACCCCAAAGTTTTTTATAAACGGAGTTATCAGCGCTAAAAGTTTCCAAATCTTGTCCGGGCACTCCTCTTGACTCGATCCATTCTGCAGTGCTAAGGAAGAACGCTGTATGAACATTCGAGAGTTGCCGAATTTCCTGCGATAAAATATTCATTTTTAGGAAGGTTATGAATATTTTCCCTTGAAATTTTTGGGACGATTCGGTGAAATTGCGAGCAAAATTATCCGAGATATTGAAAGAAAAATATTCATAAGTTAATTGCACTTGATCGTTTATTTTGGTTGCACCATCAGTCTCACAATAACAACGGTGAGGCTCATAGCGTTCTTCATTTTAATTTTCTTTGTTTTACCCGTTGAAAATGCGGGTGTGATCCCTGCGAAACGTCCCGGGCTTTATATTTTATTTTGTGTGTTCTTTTTATTATTTGCGGCCTTCGTCCCGATTTAAGTTGTTTTTTTGTCGGTCTGTCGGGCCGATTAAGTTGTTTCTTCTAATATTCATAATAAGTTTACCGGGAACTTCGTGTTTTATCATAGGCAATGGAGATGTTGCATGCGTGAGGAATTTGCAATTTCACTGTTGATTCCTATGTAAAAGTTCGCGAAAAACACGATGGTGCCACTGGTTTCCTCTAAAATTAACTCCCAAGCTCAAAAATAGCTCTCAAGTTGAGGCCAAAATGGAGGGTATATCCCACGCTATCCTGAGAGTCGACCTCTACATCAAGGCAAACTCTTCATGCAAAGATAGGGAGCAAGTACAATAGCAGGGTTTCCGTGTTTTCAGTTTTGGAGTCCCCAAATAAAGTGGCAACCCTGCTAATGTATTCGCTCCCTATCTTTGCATGGAGAGTTCGTCTTGATGTAGAGGTGGACTCTCAGGATAGCGTGGGATATACCCTCCATTTTGGCCTCAACTTGAGAGCTTTTTTTGAGCTTGGGAGTTGATTTCAGAGAAAACCAGTGGCACCATCGTGTTTCTCGCAAATTTTTACATAAAAATCAACAGTCAAATCGCAATTCCTCACAAATACAATATCTCCATTTGGCATCGCCTGAAGGTTCATACGGCGTTCTTCCTTAGAACGGCAGCATTGTGCGCCGATGCGGAAACTGGACGTCCGACTGGACGTTCCCACGTGCACCCAGAGCGACAACACGGACGGGGGAATCGGCGATAACCCGGAGAGCAAACACGGAGAACTAACTACATATTTACGAGTTTAATTGTTAGCATCTTGTCGCTAACAATTGGGCTCCTCTCGCGCTTTCTTATTCGTCGGATAGTGGCGAGTCAGTGACTCTGGCTCCCGTGACACCGTCATCGTCATCCGTCATCCGTCATCGTCGCGTCCGACGTCGAAGCGCGTCCACCTGAGCCCGGTCGCCCCAGTCGGCCCGCAATACCCGTCCGAATACCAGAGTGCCGTGTCCGCGACCGGCTATCCATGAATTTAGTGCCGAATGCTCTTGTCATCACTAATATTCGACTCGCTGTAGTGTTGAATTACTTTGACCAGTGATAACACGTAACCGATAAGTGATCCAGATCAATGAAATAAGGTACGTCCTGAATAATCCATATTTAACGGGGGGAAAATGTAAGGGGACATTCCCTAAAATTGTGATACACTGGAAAAAAAACACATGGGATCTAGAGTCCAGAGTCTTAAAAACATTGACAAGAAAAAATACTCTTGATTCAATCAGATTTTTGCTTCAATCAAAAGGAAATCCGCTCAAATTGGTTTGGTTCTTGATCTCAGCTTAAATATAATTGAATCAAGAGTATTTTTTCTTCTCGATGTTTTTAAGAGTCTTGACTCTAGATCCAATTTGTTTTTTTTCTCCAGTGAGGGCATTCCCAATTAATAGTGGCAGGCCCGCCACAAGGGGGGGATACTGGGTCCCTGGTACCGGGGCCCGGGCCCTGGAGGGGCCCGTGACGCAGGTGACAAACCACTACGAATTCATGTGTAACCCTTGTCTCGTAGGGAAAAGTGAAAAAATTACCCTAAAAATTCCGCTAAAAAGGTGAATGAAGTTTCAAAAACACGCTAGGGCACTATAAAATTTTTCTTACTTTTTTAGAGATTTTCAAGATTTCGAGTATATCTAGAATGATATTTTTAGTAACTGTGTTTCATTTTCTTCCGTTGTCGGATGCTAAGAGGCTCCTTTCTGGGCATCCTCGACTTCAATGGTTTAACTCCCTTGCCATAGACGTACGAAAGGGGAGTCCAGGGGGGCCCGGCTCCCCATAGAATTGAAAATTATCATCTGCCCCCTCAAAAAAAAAATTTAAAGATGTTTGAAATGCAACAATTCGAAAGTTTTTGGTGCTGAAAGTAAACAAAAAGGCGTAATTATTCTGCAGAAATTGATGGAAAATCTCCATCTTAAGAGCTTCATAATGCGTCCAAATAGATTTAAAATTTCAAAAATTTCCCGGGGGAGGCCCCCCGGACACCCCCCCCCCTATGCTAGGGGCCCGGGCCAGAAAATTGGTACCAGGGCCCGAGATGGGATGTGGCGGGCCTGAATAGTGGTAATGTGGCAACATTTGGGTTAGTAGCCTAATTTTTGGGGGTACTACCACGATTAATTGGAAAATCCCGTATCATCCAACAACCCCTACCTCTTTTTTCCGCGTTTTCAATTTTTGTTGCTGTGATAAGGTGGGTGGTTAAAATGATCATGATGGAAATGATCCTCCTTTGAATAGTATCTTATCGAATCGAATCTGTTATCGCCAATGGGGAATTCGCATTTATAAATTATTACTGATTTTAATTTTCTTGTCTCCTTGTTTGCACGGGGGTTAAAACCACCCCAAAACTTCCTCGGGACTTGTGTGTATATTTTTAGCTTTATTTACCCTTTTTCCATTCAAAAATAAACAAAGATATTCATAAACTGTAGCACAGGATTTTGTTTAAAAACCCTCCGTTTTCGCTCTTTGGTCAATCTTGGTGGGGGAAATTAGAATTGTCCCATTCTACAGGATGGGAAAAACCCTTGTTATCACCGGGATTCGGGTATTTTATCTTTGACCACCCTAAAACGTCTCATGGTATTTTAATGATTATTTTGATCTTCATTTCCGTATGTTCCTTGTCACCAAAAGCAAACAAGAATATAATAATTATTGAGGCACACGAAAAATGTTAAATTTAGTGCTCAGCATCCGCTCGGACTCATGCATTCGCACCATTAAAATTTTTATTTACTTTGAAGTTTGGTAAACTTGGGAAGTGGCTAGAAAAAATTTGCTTGGTAAATTTTTATTTAATTGACATGTCTCAAGAGACCCCTTGTGATTTCTCATTAACTCTTTTGAATACAAAATTTAGAAAAATAATTTATTAGTTTCGTCTTTAACTTCGTATTTATTCTATAAGACCCATTCTGTTTTTACACTTCCAAGCTTCATTAGACAATTGAGTGGCAGTTACGCCTTTCTATGCCGAATCAGATTTAAATATAAACCAAGTTAATACGAGTATGTTTATCAATGACTGAGTTTTCGGCTTCTTCCGCACAAAGTTAAGTGTGTGAATACGTTCAGGGACATTTTTTAAAAAAACAATCTAGGTAACAACTGTCTCGAGCAGGGCTAATCTCAAAGTATTCCATGTAAACAATGGAATGCCAGCACTAAATATTTAGTTCCGCAACGCCATTTTAAACTTTTTTCTTGTCACAAAGATCCGAGTAAATTTACTAGACTTAGGAAGCACTGAGGTTGAAATTCGCCAAACAATTAATTTTGTAAATAACTTTTTTTTTTTTGAGGAGGGTGCGGGGTGGAGTGGGGGAGGGCAATGATCTAGAAGAACCTTGGGCGGACAATATTTTTAATGCACCTTTTTTAAGTCCTCTGAGATGTTGAGAGGGTCAAATTACATGTAAAACCAGATTCTCCCTCAAAATGCAGGCCCTGCCGCCCTGTGAAAATTTGGTTTGTGCTAGTTAAGCAAATTGGAAAAAAGCTAACCCAGCTTGTAATTTAGTGAGAAACTGTGGTATTTTGTTTACATATTTCAATAAAAATATTCAAATAAAGACACTTCTATTCAAGACTTTGAATACTCAATATAAGAATGTCAAGAGGTTGAAAAACGCGGAAACTAACTTCCTGAAAGTGCTCGGGATTAAAGGAATAATCTGGATCTATATAATTCTCAATTTTTAAAGTTTTTATAGGGAGACTTCTAGACAATATAAATACATAGCATCAATGCCATCCTCTTCAAGAAAACTTTAAAGTCGGCAAATGAAAAAATAAAAACCTGTCCCCTCCCTCTCCTTTAAAACCTCTACGGTCAATCAGTTTCAGTCCCTTACGAAATACCGTCAAATTACCCGTAGGTACGTCACCTTTTCGTACCCTCTCTATGATATTTCATTTTCATATTCATAGGTTGATGTTTTTTTCACTCATTGTCAGCTGGAATGTATGTGTGTTTCGAATTTCCCCTTCGGTTCTTTTAGTTTTATTAAATTTTGATTTGCTTCTTCATCTTCCCTTACTTTTGTAATGGAACCCAATGTTGACCTTTTTCATTTCATTTATTTATTCTTTTGCTTTTTGCACATTTGGCTTCACAAAAACGTCATTTTCTAAATAAAGGTACTGATAGGTATAAACATATTTACATACAAATCGTCTTAAATTCATTCATTGACATTCAAAAATTCATTGATTGAGTACGGGCATTTTTCAATCAAATGCCTTGTGGCCAGCTTATCGAATGTTGGACTATATATGCTTTCCTGTATAATATTTGGCAATTTATCAAAGAATTTCCATGCCTTTGTTAGGTATGTGTCGTTCTTTGATAAACTGTTAAATTGGTGATATCTTGTGTCATACCCATGTGTCTCTGCCTTATCTCCCTTCAGCCTTTTAGCCAGTAATTTTAAGTGACTCATAATTATTTTGGCCGGTAATTTTTTCTTGAAGGCATCGTCCCATTTTCCTCCCAATACACCTAACGTTGCACAAAAATGTCACGGTACTCAAAGCGTCAAGTATCTTTGTCGATGGTAGGATTTAAACAAGAAAATTATTATTTAGAAAAAACATGTATCGGTTTTTTTTTTTTTTTTCGGTAAGTCAAGCGGTTAGAAATCCTAAGTGTGTTCTTTGGGTGAATGTAGGAACGGTTAATATCCAAAACGCGGAATTGTTTTACCGGGAGCAGGAAAATGCAACAACCTTGAACTCGATAAATTCAAGGCTGCCGAACGGAAGTGAAATATGCAGAATAGTGCATCTGTTGAAAGAAATAGTAGGGTGCGGAACAGAGAGGTGGGGAGAACATATTTTTAAGTCACATTAATGGCCCAAGTTTTTAAGCATTGTATAATGTTTTGCGACGCATGATAAATACTGGAAAACATGGTGCTTTACTTCGTCTTGTCTTTTTCGCACGGTCTTCCTTTTCCCTCCGAGGAATTTTCCGGGATAATTTCAACAAAAATATTCTGATATGATTTGAAAATAAATTTCAAAAACATTCCATGTCAAAAATGTTTAGTCTCACAACACTAGCTCAAATTTTTTAAGACTTTAATTAGTAATGACCCAAAACTCATGATTTTGTGTTCCTTATGTATGTTGACATCACGAAAATTGCATCTAAAATTTTCATGCACTGATCTCTATAACTGCGAATAATTATAATCCTCTTCTTTGTGTGTGCTTGATAAATTTATGCGTGCTTGATGAGATGTATTATTCATAGTTCCCTAGATTTAAACAATGGCAACTGTTAAATTACGGGTTTTAAAAGTTCAAATATAGTAATTCATATACCTCAAGCGTCAAGAAAAGAAGAAAAAAACTCTAAAAAATGAAAAGTGCGATGATGCGTTGACAACTCAGCCGATAAAGAGGAAGCTTTATCTCAAATTTAATTGTTAATGCGATCATGAAATGGTGCTCAAACATTTATCCTTGGAATGACCATTGTCTGGCATCAGTATACCTCGAGAGTTGGATTGCTGTGGCAATGATTTCACTGCACATTCAATGATCCGCGGGGATATGAACGTTTAATCTCGGCGTATATTGAAAAAAATTCAATTTGCCGTAATTGTGAAATTGCTATTGATAGTGCACCAAATGAGATCATTTTGTCAAACTAAAAAAGAGAGCCCAATTACTCATCATAATGATATTCATATATGGCTCCACTTTAGACGATATTCGAAAAAATCGCTCATTAATCCTGCGGATGTTTTGTTCAATTACATATTGTGTATGGAAAGAGAGCCAACTATCTAATCTCCCAACTGAGAATGTAGTCATTAGTCGTAGTGCATTTTGATAACTGGATCTACATGGCTGTGAGAAAAACCCTCTTTTTCCCTCAAAAAATCTGGAAAGCGCTCTCGTTGAGGAGATGACAAGAATACTCTTGTAGATAATACTATCTACGTGATAATTTGTTTAAAAAAAAAAAAAAAACAAAAACAAAAAACAATAATGTGGCGCATTGCGCATTAATCGCCCATGAATGAAATCGGTTTTTTTAAAAACATTTTTGACCCCACTA